AGAGAGAGACAGAGGAGAGAGATGAGAGAGAGATTGGAGTTGAGAATTTGAGAATGATATTGAAGTTGTGGACCTGGATAACTGGAAGAATGGCAAGGTCTTTGAAAATAATACAGAAGTTGGGGACAGAGCTGGGCTTGGGGACAAAGATAATGATCATTGTATCCCTTTAGACCAAGTCTGGAGAGAGCACTAGATTTAGGTTTTGAAGAGCAGGGTAAAGGATTTGGGGTTACAAGCAGACTGATGTATAAACAAGTCCAGACCTGGTGGGGGGAATGATACCTTAAGCCTTGGTGACAGGAGAGGGTGGGGTGGGGGAAGATGGGTAGAATCTTCTGACACAGTAACTTGGCTAGAGCTATGTAATGACCTTTCCTGCAGCTGACATAGGAAATGTATTATGGTATAGAACCCTGGCGGGCCCAGTGGGGCTGAGGGGCTTGCCTTTTTCCTCTGATGTTGTCCCATGCTCACATACTGGGTTTGGTTTTGGCAAGACTGGCCCTGAAGAGAGGGGTCAGACTCTTTTTCTTAAGCTTTCTGGCTCTTTACAACCCCACCCAGAGACCTCAAGAGAACTGCTCCAGACTTAGGTTTGGCTCATGTCTAGGCTCTCGCCATAAAGAAGAAGGGTACTCAATGTGTAGATCAGGTGTAGGAAAGTTACTGCCATGGGGCAGCTAGGTGGTGCAGTGGGTAGAGCACAGGCCCTGGAGTCAGGAGGACCTAAGTTCAAATCCGACCTCAGGTCAAACACTTGACACTTACTAGCTGTGTGACCCTGGGCAAGTCACTTAATCCCAATTGCCTAAAAAACAAAAAAAAAAAGAAGAAAGCTATTTCCTCTATACAAAAAGAAATGTTTAAAACACAAAAGACTCATATGCACATTTTGACAAAGACTTGAACACAAAGCAATAACTAGTCATACAATATAATACAAAAATACAGTACAATAAAATGGTGCAAAAATACAATAAAAATGTATTAGTAACTACTAATCTTTATACTTAACATCAGAACATGACACCTTTTTAGGGTATGCTGAATAGACATTCCACCTTCCCCTTGGCTCTGCGCTATTTAAACTCCTTCTTTAAGGTGTCTGTATGGAAAGCTGGTCCAAGGTTTCTCCTCTTCCATCAGTGGTTATCTTCACCTAAGAATCCCAGTAGTTAGCATTAGAGAGCTTCACCTTTAGTTCAGATGACACCAATTGAGTGACCCAGGAACTCACAAGGTAGCCACTTAGAAAAAATCCTTTTTCCACAATTGCTCCCCAGGCACTTATGCTCAAAAAACTCCCACACAAAGTAGGAATAGCAGCAAGGATTTGAGTGTTACTACTTCCTTAGGCCTCATACAAAATCCCAAGGAAAGGGATGTTCTTGTCCTCATGGTCTTGAGAGAAGAAGAAGAAAGAGCACCAGAATATGGTCATTCCTTTTAAAGTCTGCTGAGATGGTGAAGTTGGGGGTGGGGTGAGCTGGTTTAGGGGGTGACCTCTTCTGGGCTCAGTGGCCAATTTTATCTTTAATAAAGCTTTGATGCAGTCCTCTGCCCCCACCACCAAGGAATTCCTTCATCATCCTAAAACGCCAAGTCTTTCAATACTGAACCAGCATTCCTGGCCCACCAGAAAGGGTCAGGCTCAGTGTGTTATACTGAAAGGGGAGCAGCTCCAAGCATGCTCCAGGGGGTGTGTTCTAGCCAGAACTGTTGGAGGCTGGTGAAAGGGCTGGTTTTGCTTATATACATTATATCGTCCTTGCTTTTCTTCCTCATTTGTGCTGTATAGAGAACAGACACTGAAATCAAGATACCCAGATTCTATTACTGGTTTGGCCACTAATGGGTAACCTTGAGAAAATCACATCTCTCTGAGTCTACTTGCCTCATTTTAAGTCCTTCTCAGGGTCACTGAAGCATGGAGGATAATGTTCAACTTGGAGTCTGGACAGAATGCTGAATTTGAGGTCAGGAAGATGTGGATTCAAATTATACTTTGTATACTTCCTTGTGCCCATGTGAGTGTGTATAAATGGCTTAATCTCTTTGAGCTCAATTTTCTCATCTATCAAATGGGGATAATAATACATGTAAGTAGTTACTGATGAGGTGTAGATGGTAGGGGTGCTGAAACCCTGAAACCCTAAATGAATTCGACCCAAGTCTTCTTTCAGCCAAGGACAAGGTTTTATTAGAGTTGAACCATACAGGCCAAACTTTTAAGGAATCTGAACATAAGCAGACATGAGGAAATCTCGTGGCCAGAATGGATCTTATATACAGCCAAGTAATTTGGGGTGTTCAGAGGAGGGCCTGGGAGAAGGATCTGGGGTGACTGGGGGAGGAGTTTAGGGAGAACCCTGATGGGAGTGTTTGGGAGGTTGAATGGGGTCATCCGGGAATAGACAATGGAGGGCTAGGCTTCATCAGGGTAACAAAGAACTGGAAGATAGGGAAGGAAGAGTTTGAATAGGGTCTGGATAAGATCAAAGATGGGAAATATACTAGGCTTCATGGCAGCTAGGTGGCACAGGGGATAGAGCACTGGCCCTGGAGTCAGGAAAACCTGAATTCAAATCCAGCCTCAGACATTTGACACTTATTGGCTTGCAGACCCTGGGCAAGTCACTTAACCCCAATTGCCTTATACACACACACACACACACACACACACACACACACACATATACATATATATAATATATATATATATATTATATATATATACACATTTTAGACTTCATTAAAGTTTCAAAGAGAGATAAGGCCTAGGCAATAAGGCCAGTTAATAATTAGGAGACTGCTAAACCTCCTTGACCAGAGAAGTGAGTTCAAAGAAAGTTTAAGGGTTTTCTGGAGCCCATAGACAAATGGGAACCAAATTGTCTGGAGTGAGGGAGAAAGGTCTTGGGTTGGGCCCATACCCCATCAGTTACCTCAGAGTTATATCAGAGTCGCTGTAAGGCTCAAAGGAGAAAATGTTTGTAAAGTGTTTTGCAAACCTTAAATTGCCATATGGACAGCAGCTTGCACGTATATATAATGTATGTATATCACATATGTATGCACACACACATACTATCGCTCTATATGTAACTGTTTACAAAAAGGGCTTTCCATGACTATCTCAAATGATCCTCATAACACATATCCCTACTAATAGTATTTCCATTTCTATAGATGAAGAAACTGAAGGATAGATAAATTCATTATATTATTGCCCGCAGTTGCAGAGGGAGCATAGAGAGTAATTAGTTCAGGTCTCCTACTAGACTTCAAGTCTAATATATCCATCCTACCTATCACACAGGGATTCTGTGAGAATCAAATGAGATGACATTGGTGGAATTTGAAAATTATAAAGTGTTACACATATATAGGGGCAGCTGGGTGGCACAGTAGATAAGAGTGCTGTGCCTGGGATCAGGAAGACCTGAGTTCAAATTTGGTCTAAGATATTTAATAGCTCTGTGAACCCTAGGCAAGGCACTTAACCTCTCTCTGCCTCAGTTTCTTTAACTGAAAAATAGGTATAATAATCATAATTGAACCTACCTCACAGGGTTTTTGTGAGGATTAAATGATCTTAAAGGAGATAATATTTGTAAAGTGCTAATTACAGTACCTGGGATAAAGGAGGTGCTTAATAAATGTTTGCTTCCAACCTGGAAAGACTACATGAACTGATGCTGAGTGAAGCGAATGGAACCAGGAGAATGTTGTACACAGTAACAACAGTATTGTGCAATGAACAACTATCATAGCCTTAGCTCTTCTCAGCAATACAATGATCTTAGACAATTCCAAAAGACTCATGATTAAAAATGCTAACCACATCCAGATAAAAAAACTGTGGTGTTTGAAAGCAGATCAAAGCATACTGTTTTAACTTTTTTTTCCTTTTTCATGGTTTTCCCCTTTTGTTCTGATTCTTTTTTCATAACATGCCTAATGTGGAAATACGTTTAATATGATTGTACATGTATAGCCTATATCAGATTGCTTGCTGTTTTGGGGAAGGGGAAGGGGAGGGAGAGAGAGAAAAAATATGGAACTCAAAGTCTTATAAAAGTGAATGTTGAAAACTATCTTTACATGTAATTGGAAAAAAATAAAATACTATTAAATGAAAAAAGCAAAAACCAAAAACAGTTTGTTTCCTTCCTTTTCTTTCATAGTTCATGGATTTCAAACTGGAAGGGATCTTAGAACACATTTAGTTTAGCTCCCTCATTTTACAGATAAGGAAAGTGAAGCCTTGAGATGCTAAGGAACTTGTCCAAGGCGACCTAGCTAATAAGTGGAAGAGCTGACACTTGAACACGGGTTCTCTGGTTCCAAATCCCCTGCCCCAGTCAAAAGGCCACACTTAGGGACCTAGAAGGCCACATGTAGCTTTAAGGCCACAGGTTCCCAAACCCCGCTCCACACTCTCCACTGTCCTTGTTGTATCACACAACTTCACTGCAGCCTTGGTTCTGAACACACAACATGCCCACTTTGTGTTGCGCAAGTCTTCATGCCCACACTCCAACAAACGCTGCCAGAATACCTTGGCTCAGATTCCACACTAGTGTATATTATGAATTGCAGCGTTTTTACTGTACATACAAAATTGTTGAATGAATTTTGGTTTGGGATTAGGGCAGAATTTCCAAAAATTTCTGAAATGGCCTTAAACATGCTTCTTCCATTTTGTACTACATATTAATGTGAAGTAGTGTTCTCAGCATTGATGATTATGTAATCAAAATATTGATCACCTCTGAAAAATATTAAAGATGCTCTATGTCCTGCACTATCAAATATTCTGCCAAGATTTAATTCTTTATGTAAAAATAAATGATCACATCCATTTTATTAGTATGCAAATTTGCTTTCATCTTTAATAAATGGCTAAATTATATGTATACCAAAGAATTGTTTTAAAATTAATTTCTCTATGATTATCAGTAAATGTCTGATTTGTATATCTATTTTATATACCTATATACCTGGGGTTGTGTAAAAATTTCTCAGGCGAAAAGGGATCTGGAGTGGAAAAAGTTTAAGAAGCCCTGCCCTAGAAAGGTGTAAACTAGAAGAGAGGACCCCTGTGGGCCAGCGCAGAAAGCAGCAAGAGAACCAATAAGTTGGCCTTCCAGCTGCAGTCCTGGACAGAAGGTTTTCAGGCATCCAGGTGCACAGGAACCAGCTGATATCCAGGGGGATCGCCAGCTTTAGGGGGATCACAGGCCACAACGAAGGCTTTAACAAGGCGGGTGTACGTGTAGCCTCAGTTGGATTGTGTCACAGAGATGAGGTCACATTGGGTAATGGAAACTGTGTTAGGGCTCTGATGACAGTTCTTCTGGCCGTTCTTACAGGTTATGTTGGGGGATCTACAGACTCTGGCCACGTTTGGGAAAGAGTCATGGATGAAGCTGTTACGGGGTTTGCAGCGCTTTATGTAAGAGTTAATAATTCTCATGCCCTGGTTGCACCGGAGACGTCTGGGCTGGACATGCTGAACTTGAAACCACTGGGCCTCGGTCAGGTTCTTGGGCTTTGCGCTGACTGGGACCTCCCACAGCCCCAGAAAGAGAAGCAAGAGGGAGCATGAGGCTGCCAGAGCCAGTGCCATCTCTCCTATGGGGGAGGAAAAATGAAGGGGGCAGAGGGCAAGAAGCTATATATTTAAGAAATCAATGCCGCCCCCCTACCTCCACCCCTTTTAGTTACTGTCTCCTTGGCCAGGTCCACTTAACCTCAATATGTCCCTATCCCCACTCATGACTGTGCCTCATACCCACTTATTCCACAGCCTCCCCAATCTCCTCTCATCCCCACTGTAATCTTATCCCCCCTTACCTCACTGTAACCCTTCACCTCACTGTGATCCTATTCCCTTTCTTTTCACTATTCTCCTGCATCCTTCACTGTAGGCTCATTGATAGCAGGAACTGCCTTTTTGTTTTTGACTCCCCAGCACTTAGCACAGTGCCTGGCACATAGTAGGTGCTTAATAAATGCTTACTTACTGACTATATTTCTATCCTTTTTACTCTATGCTCTCATCCCTACATAACACAACATTCCCTTCCCTGTTCACATCACTGTGCTCCCATCTCTGTACAACCTATTGCGCCTTTATCCTCATTCCCCTACTGACATCAGTCCCCCTTGCCCCGTTATTCTCCCAGGTTCTCTCACCCTACTATACCCCCTTCTCTATTCATATCACTGTATTCCTCTCTTCACACCCTACTTTGCTTCATCCTTATTTCCCTACTGCCCTTTCTGCCCCTTTACTCACTCATCTCTGTTCACCTCATTGTGCCCCCAACCCAACATATCCATTGTGCCTCTTGCTTACTTATAACACTATGCTCCCATCCCCACTGAATTCTATAATTACCCAATGCAAAGCCATCTTTTCTCTTTATGAATCCTTTCCTCCCCTCCCCCTCATTCCTACAACACTTTCCTCCCTAAATCCTGTTCTACCCCAACCCCAGAAAGCCATCACCTTTCGTCACCCAGTCTGAGAATAGCTTCTTGCTACAAGTTGAATCCAGATGACTCTCGAGAAAATCCTGGAGTATCTTCCTTGTTGATTGTAGCTCTTACAGAGCCAGCCTGCTATAAGGTCGGCCAGAAGGATATGGGGACGATCTCAGGGTTGGTGGAGAGAAGTGCTGTTTGTGGCTGGCATATGCACCACACATCCAGAACAGGTGGAAGCCAGCCACTTCCTGGTTTGGGGATCAAAGTCAGTCCCCGCCCCAGTCCCTTCCAGGTGACCTGAACCAGTGGATACCATTTATGGCAGTGTTTATCAAAGGAATTAATACACTTGTTTAAACAAGTTCTGTAATGACAAAACTTTAAAAACATACTCACCTTATCACATTAAAAAAAAATGTTTAATGGAGCACTCTCTTTCCTGATGTGTCAACCAAGTATGAAGGCCTGGAAAAGGGCCATGGTTTATCTCTCCCTGCTGGCATTTCTCACCAAGGACACCAACTGGGCCTCTTGTGGGGCATCAAGTGGTCCTCTCTCCCAGCTCTGAGAGAGCTAAACCATGCCTGCCTCTACAAGTCATTGTAAAAATGATCTCCTAATTGGAGTGGCACTGTTTATTCATGAGGATAGGAAGAAAAAAGAGTTGAATTGTCAAGGCTTTATGTGAATTCTGCACTATCTGGCCCCTTCATCTCTATCCCCAGTAGTCATTCTAATGATGATGCAGTGCTTCCTATGGCTATTATCTGGGCCTCTTTTTTTTTTCTACCCAGGTACTGACCACTGCATTCATTCAACAAAAATTTATTAAATACCTACTATGTGCCAGGCACCATGTTAGGCATCGAGGATCCAAAGATAAAAATGAAAAGTCCCTGCCTTCCGAGGAGCTTGCATTCAGTTGGGTGGCACAATATGTACCCAGAGAAGTAAATACAAAATAAACACAAAGTTATTTTTGCAGAGGGAGAAGAGAGAGGACAGTAGCAATTGAGGAGAGGGAGGTCAGGGTAGGCCTTCTGTAGAAAATGGCCCTTGAGCTAAGCCTCAAAGGAAATTAGGAATTTTAATTAGAGGAAGTGAGGAAGGAGTATATCTAGGCATGTGCAACAGTCTGTGTAAGAGATGGGGAACAGCAAGCAGGCTACCTTGACTGGAATGTAGTCTGCATTAGGAGAGTTATGTGCAGTAAGTCTGGAAATAGAGGTTGGCACTAAATGGTGAAGGGTTTTAAACTCCAAACAGTGGAATTTGTCTTTTATCCTAGTGCAAGAAGGAGCTACTGGAGCATCTTGAGTAGAAGAGTGACATGGTCAGACCTGTGCTTTAAGACATCAATTTGGGGTAGCCAGGTGGCATAATGGATAAAGTACTGGCCCTGGATTCAGGAGGACCTGAGTTCAAATCCGGTCTCAGACACATAACACTAGCTGTGTGATCCTGGGCAAGTCACTTAACCCCATTGCCTAGCCAAAAAAAGAAAAGACACCAATTTGACAGATGTATGGGGAATGAATTGGAGACCGGAGTGACTGGAAACAGGAAGACCAGTTAGGAAGTTTTTATAATATCTTGGGCAAAAGGTGATGAGGACATGAAAATTATGGCGATAGCTGTGTGAATGGGGAGAAAAGGAAAGATGTAAGACATGTTGTGGAGCAGAATAGACCAGACTTGGCCATAGATTGGATATGAGGGTTGAAGGAGAGCCAGAGGGAAGAGTTAAGTGAGACTCCAGGGTGGCAAACCTGTGAAACTGGAAGGATAATGATGGCATCAATAGAAATGGAGAAGTTAGGAAGAGGGTAGGGTTTAGGGAAAAGAGAGTGATTTCTGTTTTGAGATGCCTATAGGACAAGAAGTTGAGAATGCCCGAAAGGAAGTTGGGGATGCAGGAGAGGACCTTAGGAGAGGCAGGGGCTATACATAGAAATCGGAAAGACATGTACTTAGAGAGGATAATTGAAGTTATGGGAGCTGATGAGGTCACTGAAAAAGAAAGCTGACAGAGAAAAAAATAGCTCAGAACAGAGCCCTAGAGTATGGCCATGCAAAGGGCTGAGACATAAAGGATAGTCCAACAAAGAAGACTGAGGAGTGGCCAGACAGGTAAAATAACCAAAAGAAGTAGGTATTCCCAGAAAGAAGAGAGTATGCAGGATGAGAGGGGAGTCAAAGGTGTCATAAGCTGTAGAGAGGTCAGGAAAGATGAGGACTTGAGAAAGGATATAGGATTTGAAAATTAAGAGATCACTACTAATCTTGGAAAGAGTAGATTCAATTGCATGATGATATCAGAAGTCAGACTGGAAGGGGTTGAGAAATGAGAGGAAAGAGGAGGCAATGAATGGGAAACATTTTGGTTTTGTTCTTGGCTATGCAAGGGAGGAGATATCAGATAAAAACTTAACATGAAGTGACTTGGTCATGGTCATACAACCAACAGGCTTACATCTGGGACTTGAACAGGGGATCCATGATGCCATGAACCAAGCTCTACTGATCCTTGCCAGAACTCCATGCTGCCTCTGTATCAAAACAGCAAAGTATTATGGAAAGTGCTAAGTGGCAGTGTGAGGATCAGGTAGTATACAGTCTCACCCTAGCATTCCTGGAACAGCAGCATTAGCAGGGATTTGGAGTCAGAGGACTTAGGCTCAGATCTACTACTAGTGTGGCTTTGGGAAAGGTCCTTAACTTCTCTGGTCTTCAGTGTCTTCATACAGAAAATCTCTTTCCTTTCTGGTTATAAATCAAAGTATGGGGTCTATTCTCTGATTCTGAGATTGGAGCCTGGGGGAGGGACATCTCTTTTTTCTGTTAAAACAGTGTTCAAGATCCTCAAGACTTTCTTCATTATGTTATTTGTTGGCGTAAGCTCAGCATCAGTTATTGGTTGGCTAGCAATGGTCAATGGTGAAACTACTGATGACCAGCTAGCCTGATGGTGATTGAGAACTCAGCCAGCTATTGATAGGGCCTGAAGAATGCAGATGGAGTAATTTCTTCCGGTTTCATGTATTTCGGCGTCCCCGTCCTGCATCACATCTAGGACTTCATTAATATGCAGTAACTGCACAGGTTATTTAGTGGGATGGAATATTAGCTTAGAACAAAGCTTACAGAGTCTGGAAATTTAGGTTTAGGGTTAGCGTTCTGGTCAGTAAGACAGAGCAGAGGTCTGGGGCAAGGTTTTTATTGGGAGCTCAACAGAGATAGGAAACCGATAGGGAGAGAACCACCACTGTGGATCAAGAGACGGGCAACTGTGGTGAGGGGCAGAGGGAGTCCGACCGGCTGTACTAGAATGAACTGGGAAAGGGAGACATGCCACTAGATGGCAGAAGAGGTTAAGGGACATTGGACCATGACACTCCACTAATTTGCTTTTCCTGGGGCCTGAGCTCTTGGGCCACACCTTCTTTTGCTTTCTTAAGAACCCTGAACCTATGTATAGAGAGCTGTACACATGACGGGAGAGATGCCAAGACATTTTAAACCTAAGAATCCTTGATTCAGAACAGCTTATTTATTCACCAATTATTGACTTGAGACAGCAGAGGGCTGGAGACTGGGGGTGGGATAGGGAGGGAGTCTACTAAGAGTGCTAAACTGTATTCCCAGCTAGAACTGCTTATTCTTGTAACTCAATGTTTTTCACATCTTGATTTCCTCCAACCTCTGCCACTGAGTTTACCCATCATGGTATTTGAGAGTTTGGATGGCACAGTGGACGGAGCGCTGGACTTGGTGTTAGGAACACTTGGGTTCAGATCCGTCTTCAGACACTCACTAGCTATGTGACCATTGGCAAATCACTTATCCTCTCTGAGCCTAAGTTTGTAAAATGGAGAGAAACTATCTATAGTACACACCTCATAGGGCTGTTGGAAGGCTAAGAGGAGAGAATAAATGCAATGTACTTTTCAAGCTTCAAAGTCTTATGTGACTATTAGTTATTATTCCCTCTTCCCCTTCTCCATTTGAATTGCTTTTGTGGGAGATGAAATTAAATCAACACATTCCCCTGCTGCTTTGGAGCAAAAAAGCAAAACCAACATGTATGAAGATATTCATGGTCTATGCCTATATAGGGACAAAGTCAGGGGCTGGGTATATAATTCTGTTGGTACAGGTAACTCCCAAATGAGGAACTCCTTCTACCAATATAGCACCTTCTCTGCAATTTAGTCTTTGGAAAAAATTTTTTAAAAAATCAGTTAAATATTTTCCATTTTTTTCAACAATAATGTTTTTAAAATTTTGAGTTCCAAATTCTCTCCCTCCCTCTTGCCCCTTGGCCCTCTGTGAGGAGGCAAGCAATTTGATTTCCATTATATATGTGAAGTCATACAAAACATATTTCCACATTAGTCAGTTTCTGCATCTTCATCTTAAAGAGTTGCCTAAATAATGGCTCATAGGTTTAATAACTTGGTCAGGGTCGCAGAGCCAGTATTTGTCCAAAGGAAGACTTGAACCCAGGTCTGAAGCTGGCTCTCTATCCATTATAACACACCCTCTCTTCGTATGCCTACACATTAAACTCGAAACAGAAAATGGAATCCATTACCTATACACGTGTAAATTAGACATCTATTTGTGCCTTCACCACCTTCTGGATTCTACTGGTGAAGAGAGAATTTCCCTGCCTGGCTTATCCAGATCACAGGCGGAGAGCCTCTTTGGCTCATATAAATGCACAACAAATACACCTTATAAATAAATAAATGTACACAATAAATACAGCCATAAAGAAGAGTGGTCAGTGCGGTCTATTTTTTCCCCTTCATTTGCCCCCGGCTGCATTTTTTAATGGGTATTTTCATCGAGAAGAGAAAATGTTGAGGATAGGGGAACAAGAGGAGGTAGGCAGAGGGCCAAGGTGGAAAGGTCATAGAGGAGCTGCAGGAGGCCAGCACTGGTGGGGGGAGAAGAAAAGGGGAAAATGGGCCAGAAAAGAAGCTGCCTCTGTGCATGGGAATTGAGAGAGCTGGCCCATTCTCGCTCCCCTCCCATGGGCCATGTCGCTGATGGTGGCCCAGTCTCTCCCCAGGGGGCCCGCAGCTGGTGGTTAAAGTAGCTGGGGTCAGTGTTGCGCAAATCCTAACCCATGCCAGGAGGAGCTCTGCCTCTTTTTATGGTAGGCCAACAGCAGCTGTTTCTTGCTGCTTTCATCTGTGGGGGGGTAAAGAAGTGGTGTCAGAGACATGAGGAACTGACTGCCCTCTACTCTTCTCGAGTGAATCTGAATTTAAAAATTTTCTTCTTGATATCTTGAAATCACCTTGATTTGTGGATGTACCCCTTTGCTCTCCTCTACCCAGCAAGCCATCCCTTAAAACAAAGAAAAGAAAGGCGAGGGGGGAGACCTGGATGGTCCATCCAGGCAGGATCAGATTCAGTCTTATGTATTTCATTTTTTTTTTTTGTGGAAAGGTTAACAGATGTATGGAAATAGAAAGTGACCTACTTTTTATTATATAACAAGGTGGTATCAGAGATGGGACTAGAACCCAGACTTCCTGGTTGCCTATGGTTCCCTCTCCATTAGATACCATGTCTCCTGTTCCCTGTGACTCACAGCGCCTGAAGGAGAGATAGGCATACTGGGTTCCCATTCTGGTGGCTCCAAGGCCATTCCAATAAAAGCCCCAACGACCTCTCTTCTTTTGAGCTTTATGAAATCTCTATATCATCCTCTCCCTGTCCTTGCTGCTATCATCTACTAAATCTCCAGGGCATTCTCAGTTTTCTCAGTGATTTCCATCTCCAGCTCATCATCTTCCTTTCCATCCTATCTCCTGCCATCATCCTTGGGGGATTTAATGTTCAAGTCAAAGAACCTTCTAACAACCTGACCTCTCAGTTCCTTTACATCCTCAACTCATAACCTCCTTCTCCATCCCAATTCAGACACAAGCTGACAAAACCATATCCTAGACCATACTATCTATAAGAATTGTGCTACCTCCAGAATCTCCACTTTGGAATTCTACTCTCAGTCAATCAATCAAACAATAACTATGTGTCAGATAGTATGCTAAACTCTGGAGACACAAAGAGGAGGGGAAAAGACCTGCCCTCGAAAAGCTCACATGCTCTGAGACGACTTCTGATATTTCCATCTACCTTCCCCTCTCCATTCTGAATTTGCTCTTTGCCCTCAGCAGGGCTGCTGGTTGATGTATCTGTCCTCTCCCAACCCATCTCCCATATTCTGGCATCACGTGCCTTTGTCCCTGAAGTCTTGCTTGTCCACTTTAATGCTTCATTAGATACCACCCCAGAGAGGAAGCATGCATGGCACAGTGAAAAGAATGCTAGATTTGGCATCAGAGGAGCTGGGCTCATAATCCTGGCTCTACCATTTACCACTTCAGTGATAATGGGCATTTCACAGAACCTCCTAGTTGTTTTATCTGTGAAATGAGAGGGTTGGACTAAATGACCTCTAAGATCTCTCCCATTCTTGACCTGTATCCTGATTATTCCTAGATAACTCCTACCCATCAGTGAATAAGCATTTATTAAGCATCTACTATGTGCCAGGCACTGTACTAAGTGGTGTGGACATAAAAAGAGGTAAAAGACAATCCCTGCCCTATAGGAGCTCACAATTTAATGGGGGAGACATCAAGCATACAAACATGTACAAACGAGCTATAGTGGGAACAATAGGAACTAATTAAAAGAGGGAAGGTACTGTAATTAAGAGGGATTTCTTGTAAAAGATAGGATTTTGGTTGGGACTTGAAGGAAGCCAGGGAAACCCAGTGGTGGAAATGAGGAAAGAGAGCCTTCCAGGCAAGAGGGACAGTCAGAGAAAATGCCCAGAGAGGAGAGATTGAATAGCTTGTTTGAGAAAAGCCAAGGAGACCAGAGTCACTGGATCAAAAGGTACATGGAGGGAGTAAAAGGCATAAGTAGACTGGAAAGGTAGTGGTTGTGGGGAGGTAAGGTTACGAAGGGCTTTGAATGCCAAACAGAGGACTATGTATTGATAGGGTAGGGATGACATAACTAAATTTGCTCTTTAGGAAAATCATTTTGGTGGCTGGATAAAGAATGGACTGGAGTGAGGAGGGATGAGTGACTGGGAGACTGGGAAGATAATGCTGCCTTTAACAGTAACAGGGAAATTTGGAAATGGGGAGGGTTTGAGTGAAAAGACTAAGAATTCTGTTTTGCACATGTAAAGTTTAAGGTATCTACTGGATTATCCAGTTGGAGTTGTCTAATAAGTAGCTGGAGATGGGAGATTAGAGGTCAACCTAAAGGTTAGATCTGGATAAGGAAATTTGGAAATCATCAACAAAGAATGCATGAGAGCTGATGAGATCACCAAGCAAAGTAGTATTGAAGAAGAGTAGAGGGCCCGGGACAGAGCCCTGAGGGAAACTGAAAGTTAGAAGGTGTGACCAGGATGAAGAACTTGAAATTAGATTGAGATGGAGGAGTCTGATAAGTAGGAGACCCTCCTTATTGTTTTGCTTCTCTTAAGAAAACCAGAGCTGCTATACTTTACTAGAGAAAATCATGAAATTGAGCTGATTCTATACCTACCGGGAAGGTGGTCATAGCGCCTAATCTCCCCACGTGAGTCTCTGCCCCTAATTACATCCCCCACTCCCCGCAATTCAGCCACCATATTTGGGTATGCCCAACAGCCCTTCTGCTTGGGATACAGATGTGTTAATCTGTACCTAACCTCAGAACTGGTTTTCCACGGTCAGTCCATTCACCCACCAACTCAACTTTATGGCTTTCCTTTGTTCAACTTCCACCTAGCCCCCAGACTGCACCCCTGTGGAAATGAAAACCAGCCACTTCCCACACTCCCTCCCAGTCCAAATTGACTTCAATGCTGACACGTAGGTGTTCAGCCTTGATTGAGTGATATGCAGAAGCAACATCCCCAACTACATTTTCCACAAATGGATAACAGAACAATTATCGTTACAGGAAGAAACCCTTGATTAACCAAAAAAAAAAAAGATTTCTAAGTGTCAATTCATGGCCCACTTTTTAAAGGAAAAAAGTCTAGCACAGAGAAAGAATAGGGTTTGACTTGTAGTGCAAAAAGAGACCATAAACTGCCAAAAGACGTGTAATAAGTAAGTGAGAAGAGTGGGATGGGGTTAAGGAAGGGCTCAATGAGAAGTTGAGTGTTGGGTCAACTTTGGAAGGAAAGGGAGGGATGAAGACAGGTAGAGAAGAGGTAGGGGGAATATTCCAAATAGAATTGCTAGTCTAGGGGAGAGGCTATATATTGGGAGATTATTCAAATTCAAGTTAACATATGGTAATAATGTATGTGACTTATTCAAATTCGAGTAACATATAGAAATAATGTATGTGACCTCCAGTGCATGTTGGGCAATGTACTGTGCTAAGTACTTGGAGAAATATGAAAACAGGTGGGTTCTAGTCCCTGCCCATTCAAAGCTAAAATGGTGGAGATAAAAACAACATACACATAAATAACTGTGGTACAAATTCATACAAGATCAGCATGGAATGGAATGGAATAACATCTATTAAGAATTTCCTATGTGCCAGGCAGAGAAGTAGGAACAACAACAAAAGTGGTTTGGAAGGTCAGAAGAAGGAAAGGTTATTTTCTAACTTGGGACATCAAGGAGGAAGTGGCATTTGAGGAGGGCAATAAAGAACGGCTATGATTCAATAGGTAGATGGGGGTAGGGAGTTCTAGGTTAAGGGAACAAAGATAAATTGTTGGGAAAGTGTGAATGTGTACGCAGGTTTGTCTGGAGTAGAACACACAATGCATGAGGCTGAAAAGGAAGGTTGGACTCAGGCTCTAGAGAACCTTGAAAACCAGGTTAAATAATTTTAACTTTAGAATCAGAGATTACAGAATGATAGATCTAGAGTTTGAAGAGACCTCAGAAACTCTCTGGTTCAATCCCTTCATTTTACAATTCAGGAAATGGAGGTCCAGGAAATTAAGCAACTTGCCCAGAGTGATACAGGCAAGACTCAGAGCAAGGATTTGAATCCAGGACCTCTGACTCTGAGTTGAGTCTTTACTTTATCTGAGTCAGTGCTTGCTTTCCCCTTTTGTGTGGCAGTCACGTAGAGGAATGATGTGATCAAATCTGTTCATAGCATAAAGTTAGGGACTAGACCTTTGATTTCATTAGCACAGGGATCTCACAGGTGAAGACACCCCCTCTACCAGAGCATATCGGCACTTTTTCTCCACCTATTATCTTAGAATGAAGTACTGAACTCCATTTTGTTTTCTGACCTCCATCTTGTATGCCCTCCTTCACGGAAGTAGGTGTTCCCACCTTAGAAAACCCCCAAGAAGGATATCCGCCCCCAATCTATTTCATGATCCTTATATGGTCCCAAAGGCAGGATTAACCAATCGCTTGTTTGGCTTCTGTAACTTCCTGCTTACACCCCTGACCATTTACTCTGTGGCTTCTGCCTTTATAAACGCAAGCTCTACTCCTGATCGGGGCTGCTTGATCTGGGTGTGTACCCCTTGCAGCCGCACGCTAACAAATCCCCATTCCAAATTGTATCTGGGTCTTGCTCGCTGATTTCTCTATACAACAAGAGGCTTGCCTAGAGTTCAGAGTAGTTAAGAGACACAACTAGTGTGTGTCAATCCCAATTTAAAAACAGAGACAAATGAAATTAGGGTGTGTGTATATCCATGTTTTAATTTCTTTCAAGCTGCTCTTGACATGCATTGCATGGGAATTCAATCCAAAACTGGGCCCTTTGGGGCAGAGCCAAGATGGCAAAGTAAAAGTAGTGACTTGCTTGAGTTCTCTCCCAAACCCCTCCAAATACCTGTAAAAAATGACTTTAAACAAATTCTAAAGCAGCAGAACTCCATAAAAGACAGAAAGAAATAAATTTCCAGCCCAAGACAACCTGGATGTTTGATTGGAAAGGTCTACTGCACTGGGCTGGGAGAGGAACGCAGTTCATCGTGGGCACGCAGGCAAAACAGGCCTCAGTGAATCTAGAGCAGGCCTCAGGGGACCGAATCATGGGCAGCTGTGGCAGTTTCCAGACTTCACAACCTACAAAAGCCAAAGACAACTTAGAAGGTCAGTAGGAAAGGTCTATTGACCATGGTGAGAGAGGAACTTGGTCCCAGCCCCAGTCCCAGTGCAGCCTGGGAGTGGCAGCTGCTACCAGAGCTCGGCCCATAGACAGAGGGAGAGTCAAGTGGCTGATCAGAGGGGAGATTACAGAGATCTCTTTGTTGGTGCTGAGGTAGGATTCTCTTGCTTTGCCTGTGCTTGGATCTGGGTTGCAGTTCTGGGTGGAGGTCTTGGGGTGAGGAGGAGTGCTGGCATGGTGGAGCTTGTAGTGGCAGTGGAAAGAGAATCCTCTTCACAGTTCCAAGGCAGAAAAGAGTGCTTGTGGTCACTTATAGACCAGAGCCCAGGCCGGGAAAGGAGCAAACACCTCACTTTTGATCATACCACCTTGGAAGAACTAAAAATTTACAGATTCCTAGAAGTAGCTCTGAAAATAGCTGCACAAAAGCCCTGAAGCTTGGGACAGTACATTTTCCACACTGGAAGCAGACCCCTACCTTAACAAAGAGTTAATTACTCAAGCAATTGGCTGGGATCATGAGCAAACTGTGCAAAAAAAAAAGTCAGACCACAGAATCTTACTTTGGTGACAAAGATCAAAACATACAACCATAAGACAACAAAGTCAAAGCTCCTACATCCAAAGCCTCCAAGAAAAATATGAATTGGTCCCAGGCCATGGGAGAGTTCCAAAAGGATTTTGAGAAGCAAGTAAGAGAAGTAGAGGAAAAACTGGGAAGAGAAATGAGAGTGATGCAAGAAAATCATGAAAAACAAGTCAACAACTTGCTAAAGGAGACCCAAAAAAATACTGAAGAAAATAACACCCTAAAAAACAGCCTAACCAAAATGGCAAAAGAGGTCCAAAAAGCCAATGAGGAGAAGAATGCTTTCAAAAGCAGAATTGGCCAAATGGAAAAGTAAGTCCAAAAATTCACTGAAGAAAATACTTCCTTAAAAATCAGAATGGGGCAAATGGAAGCTAGTGACTTTATGAGAAATCAAGACATTGTAAAACAAAACCAAAAGAATGAAAAAGTAGAAAACAATGTGAAATATCTCATTGGAAAAACAACTGACCTGGAAAATAGATCCAGGAGAGATAATTTAAAAATTATTGGACTACCTGAAAGCCATGATCAAAAAAAGAGCCTAGACATCATCTTTCAAGAAATTATCAAGGAAAACTGCCCTGATATTTAGAACCAGAGGGCAAATTAGAAATTGAAAGAATCCACGGATCATCCTGAAAGAGATCCCCAAAAAAACTCCTAGGAATATTATAGCCAAATTCCAGAGTTCCCAGGTCAAGAAGAAAATATTGCAAGCAACCAGAAGAAAACAATTCAAGCATTATGGAAACACAATCAGCATAACATAAGATTTAGCAGCTTCTACATTAAGGGACCAGAGGGCTTGGAATATAATATTCCAGAGGGCAAAGGAGATAGGATTACAACCAAGAATCACCTACCCAGTAAAACTGAGTATAATCCTTCAGGGGAAAAATGGATAGTCAGTGAAATAGAGGACTTTCAAGCATTCTTGATGAAAAGACCAGAGCTGAATAGAAAATTTGTCTTTCAAATGTAAGACTCAAGAGAAGCACGAAGAGATAAACAGGAAAGAGAAATCATAAGGGACTTATTAAGGTTGAACTGTTTACATTCCTGCATGGAAAGATGATATTTGTAACTCATGAGACCTTTAAAGAAAAGGGTAGTTGGGGGCAGCTAGGTGGCGCAGTGGATAGAGCGCTGGCCCTGAAGTCAGGAGGACCTGAGTTCAAATCTGGCCTCAGACCAAACACTTGACACTTACTAGCTGTGTGACTCTGGGCAAGTCACTTAACCCCAACTGCCTAAAAAATAAAGGGTAGTTGGAGGGAAAAAAATTATATGTATGTACATTATAGATAGACAGATAGTGGGCACAGGGTGAGTTGAAGATGAAGGGGTGATATCTGGAGAATAAAATTATGTAGTGAGAGAGGATTATACTGGGTGAAGGAGAAAGGGAGAGGCAGAATGGGGTAAATTATCTCACATAAAACAGACAAGAAAAGGCTTTTACAGTGGAGGGGAATTGGGGGAAGGTGAGAGAGAATGAGTGAATCTTATTCTCACCGGCTTTGGCTTAAGGAGGGAATAACATACACACTCAATTGGGTATGGAAATCTATCTTACCCTACAGGAAAATTGGGGGAAGGGGATAAGAGAGCAGGGGGATGATAGAAGGGAGGGCAGATTGGAGGAGGGGGCAATCAGAAGCAAACACTTCTAAGGAAGGACAGGGTCAAAAGAGAGAATAGAATAATAGGTGATGGGAGGGGAGACATAGGATTAAGGGAAATAGTTTTTAACAACATGACTACTACGGAAGTGTTCTGTAAGACTACACATGTATAACCTGTATGAGTTGCTTGCCTTCTTAATGAGGGTGGGTAGGGAGGGAGGAAGGGAGAAAATCTGGAATTCAAAGTTCTGTTT